CAGCAGGTGGCGCAGTTGAACTATTTGACACTCAGGCTGTTTTGGGCTCAACTTGTCTGTCAGACATTGCTGTTGTGGAGATTCTTCATGGGTCAAACTAGAAAACAGATGAAAGCGTCTCTGAGCCTGAAGATCCTTTAAAATGATTTCTTGTTTCCTTCCATCAGCAGTTCTATTCAGGCTGATTTAAATAAGGCTAATAAATGTCCTCTGAGCTTTAAACACGAACAGGTCTAAGTGAGACGGATATGTTCGCAGCATGCAGGAGGCAGAGGGGACCAGAGGAACCTTTCTGAGAAGCTCCCTGACGTTAAGCTCAGCTCCAAACATCCTGATCCTGACCACATCCAGTCAGCTGCTCTGACCTCCACGCTGTGTCACACTAGGATGAGTGATTTCCTGAAAAGCCCCGTGGGAATTCCACAACCCGTCCTAAAAAAAACACCAGACATCTTTCAACATTAACATCATTGTTCCGTTTTTCTCAGACAGGGGGCGGAGCCTAAACCAGGAGAAAGGAAGCCAGATCTGATCTACCTAAGCTCTTCTGATGATGTGATGTTTAACAGCTTCTCTCTCTCCCAGCGTCTTTTAAAAACACCTGGAACATTTTTTTTGTTTGCTCATGTTGCTGGATGTTCATGGAGGTATTGCTGCTGGAAAGAACCAGTCCTCCTCCACAGCCTCAGGTCTTTAAACTGTTCTACCAGGATGCTCCAGATTTAGCTCCATCCATCTTCCCATCATCTCCTCCCAGCTGCCCTGTCCCACAGCATGATGCTGCCACCAGTTGATCATTGGCTTCTGGTGGATTTTTGGGCCCATTTTGTTTTTTCTGTAAGTCCTTCCATTAGGAAAAATCATTCAGAGATTCAATGATGTTTCTTATCATCTGTTTGCTGATGATATCCAGCTTTCCTGCTCTTTGAAGTCCTCAGAGATCCAGAAGTAAGGCTCTCTGCTTGCTCACGTTAAACAATTGCTCGGTGCAAATTCCCTGCAACTAAACTCAGATAAAGCAGAGGTGCTGGTGATTGCTGCTCAGGAAGTTATTCCAGGTATCCTCCAGGATCTGGGCCACTTGAGTTTGTCTGCTAAACCAAGCCTTAGAAACCGAGGCTTTATCTTTGACAGAAAATTTTCCTCAGAGTATTTAGAGTCTAAAAAAATTCAGTGTTTAAAATTCTGTGTTAAAAAAGGCAGATTTCAATGAGAGTTTTTCTTCCATATTAGAGCACCAAACGAACTGTTTTACCAACTGAGGAAAATCTCTAAACTTAGAACAATTGTGTCCAGAGATGATCTTGAAATGATTATCTACGCCTTCGTGTCTTCCTCTTTAGACTACAGTAACAGTCTATTCTGTTGTCTAAAAGAAAAGGAGTCGTCTCGTCTTCAGCGGGTTCAGGTCACTGTCTGTGAAAGGTGTTATAGACATAAATATTACTTCTTGTCAAAGCTCCTCCCTCCAGCTGTTTCCTGTATCTCCTAATGACTTGTAGAAAATAAGACTTCCTCTTCTTGTCTGTCAGCCATAAAGGTCAGATTTAAGGAGTTTGACCTGTGGACAGATTCCTCAATCTGAGCTGGAGCTCAGACATCCATGATGACCAAACCAGCGACATGATTGGTTAGGAACACACCTGGACAGGTATTCAGTCCTTTACAGGACAAACAGCGGTGGGTAGAAACAAGCTGTTTCCTGTTTTAAGATTTTGGGTTTCCAGACTTTCAAATCATTTTTCTTCACCTTCAGATTTTGATCCCCATCTGATGGGAGTGGGCGGGGAAACGTGATTGACAGCGTGTAGCTTTGAGAGGTGTCCCTTTCCATGTTGCATTCATGTACTGTGGGAATTCAACAATTAATTACGCTGGAACTGTTACAACCACTTTATAAACCACAAAACTTTCCAATAACGGCAAAGTTAATTCTGTGTTCCGTTTCCAGAATTCGCCGTCTGGACTGAGTGGTTTCAGCAGCACTGCTATTCAGATAAGTTTAATCTTTTTTACAAACTATATTGTCACAGTCATAGATAATGGAATTAAGATTTAAACCTTTAAAAGACGTTAACAAGAGAAATACACTCCTGGCGATCTATAATGTGGCGAACCTTCCCTCCTCTGCTGTCCTGTTAGGATGTAGCCTGCTATGGCTAACCCATAACTAGCACCTGTTGATGAAATCGGCTACAACTGCCGTGTCTGCCAGCGAATTACATAACGATTTCATTTCCAATGACCAGAGTCTCAACTAAGTGTTCTTCTGCTTATAAATTAATGTTATATTTATCTACATGTCAAGGTTCGACCTCATAATGGAGCGTATTTCCCTTTAAACCAGCTGCTTTT